AAAAAAAAAAAAAAAAAAAATATTAAATGTCCTAATCTCCCACTATTTTTGTTTGCTAAGTGCATATACTCCAGATGATCTAAAAACTTATTAAATGCTGTCAATCTCAACTGCAAATTTCCCTCTTTCCCTTCTTCTCTCCCTCCCTCCCTTCCTTCCCCTCCTCCCCCTCCCCTCCCTCCCCTCCCTCCTCTCCCATTTCCCTTCCTCCCTCCTTTCCTCCCTCCCTCCCTCTCCTTTCCCACCCTTCCTTCCTCCCTCTTTCCCTCCTTCTCTGTCTTCCTTCCTTTTCCCCTCCTTTCTTCCTGTATGTAACATTATTAAAGTCAAAATGGTAACAGCAAGATTATTAAAAAATGAGCAATGCTAAATGTTCATCAGGTCAACCACCTACATCTGTCAGGGGCTGCATGCATCCCTTGGGCATGTACAAGGGCAAAACTGTGTGCCAAGTCCCAGGGATACAGAGTGCCTAAGACAGTCCCTGCTCTCAGGGTGCCAACCTCTGACACGGAAGACAAGCACAGAAACAACCCCTCAATACACAAGATAGAACTAAGTAGGTACTAACAAGGAGTAGAAGCAAAGGGCTGTGGAAATGTACAAGGAGGAGGGACCAGTTCAACTGGAGGGGTCCAGAAGATTCCATGGAGTGGGGCAGCTGAGCAGAGTGAGCCAAGCTCAGCTTTGAAGTGTGCGCAGAATCCCAAACACAGAGCTACCTGCATAAGCAGAGACACAGAGGCCCTGAGAGGCAGCCTGGCTCAGGGACCTTCTGCAGCAAGATGTGGCCAGAGTGTGGGGTGGGCATGGGAGGGGACCCCAAAGCAGCTGGGGGCAGAACAGCCTGGGATTTGACATTCTAGATTCCAAGGATTCTGGTGGGTGACTTAAAAGGAGACTTGAGGGAAGCTGGAATCACAGTGTCCTGCCAGCCCAAAGCAAAGGGGAAGGGAACCGCAGCTGCATGACAATACAGAGGATTGCAGGCTCCTTCCACACTCCCCAGGCCCGGGGTTCATGTTGATGCTATTGGGTCAGCAAGGACTTGGAACCAGGGGCTGAGTGACTTCCAGAATCTTGGGCTTGTTTGTAGGATGGAAAGATGCTTCTCCAGCTGCTGTGGTCTGAATGTGTGTGTTCCCCCAATATTTAGTATGTTGAGGCCCAATCCCCAATATGATAGTATTAAGAGGTGGGGCCTTTTGGGAGGTGACGAAGGTGATTGGTCCCCTTCTAAAAGAGTCCTGAGGGAGGCTGTTTGTCCTTCCACCATGTGAGGACACAGCAAGACAGCCCTGTCTAGGCACCTGACAGCATGCCCTCACCAGACACCCGATCTGTTGGCATCTTTGTCTGGGACTTTGCAGGCTCCAGAACTAGGAGCCATAAGCTTCTGTTGTTTATAAATTGCCCTGTGTAGGGCATTTGTTGCTACCCCAGCAGAAGTGGCAGCTCCAAGCCAGTCCCTGCCTTGCAGAACAATCTCTCCACACGTGGAAGCGTCTCCTCCCCCGTGGAAATGTCCTCTCTCCTCATCCAGGTCCCCTTACCTTTGAGGCTGTGAGATCAGACTGAGAGTACACTGTCTTCCTGAGATTGTCAAAGAGCGCTGCCAGGGTGGCTCGGTGGCGGGCCTGGGACAAGCGTCTCCGGGCCACCCGAGACTCAAGCTCCTGCAGCTGTGCTGGCAGCTGGGGTGTCGCTCTCTCATGGGGGTTGCTGCTTTCTTCAGGGGTCGCCATTATAAGCTGCAATGTAATATTATGTTTTGCCCTAGATAATAAAAATACAATATTAAAGGAGAAGGACGACAAATTGTGGCAGGCAGAAAGGAGGGACCCCTCCCAAGTAAAGGCCCCAAATTCACTCCCTCCTGAATTCAGTTCTTGGCAAGATTTCCAGTGAGAGGCAATGCCTTTGAGAAACTTACAAAAGCCCTTTGAAGGTGATGTCGGTCATCTGCTAATTAAGAAGGGTAGGTGGAGATTATACAGGGTCAACATAAAATCTGTTATTGAAACTCAGCTCCTAAAATTGCAGACCACCCATGTTCGACTTAGAGTTGAGGGGCCCTGGGACTTACCTCAGAAGGTTCCAACACATTGCAGGTACTCACCAGACACTTGTTAATTTCAGGGGCTAATTTTAAGCATGGCCAAGGAGAACAGCTGTACCTGAGATCTCAGGCTTTACAGACTGCTCAAAGCTGAAACTTACTTGTCCCCGCTGTGAGGTCTTTTCTCCCTTAAGAATATCCCCTCTTAGATGTGGTTACACAGGTGTATGCATATGAGAAAAAAATCCTTCAAGGGGTACACTTTAGACTCATGAATTTTTCTGTGATACACCTCAAGGAAAAAACAAGGAAAACAAGAAAATTCACTTTACCACCTGTGCAAGCAAGAAGTCACCCAACCACAGAGAAGTGAAAGCCATTTTGCCTTATCTGCCTCTAGAGGGTTCTGGAAACGATCACTGTGTCCTTCTTTGTCACATCTGAGCTTACAAGCCAGAAGCCCTTCTCTAGGGGAGGCGATCCTGGGACTGACACATAATTGTTTTAATAAGTGGCCAGGGCCTCTTACCTGAGCCATAGATCCTTCTATCAGGCCTCACCCCGCTGCTCAGAGAGCTGCTCTCCACTAGCCTGCCTGCCCTTTGCATAGGGAGGCTTCGACTTTATCACTTCTGTATCCTCAGGGCATAACACAGAGCCTGGCCCCCATTAAGTGCTCAGTGCTGGGGTTCTGATGAATTACAGTGAGATGTTTCTACTGGGTCCACTTCCCCCTGAGCTCAGTCCTGCTGGACAGAGACAATGCATGACCTCCGCCAAGGGTTTGTTAATTTTGAGGTATGTTAGAGTCACCTGGGGAGACTGTTGAAAATATACATGGCTAGGCCCTGCCTTGAAAACATTGGATTGGAACCCAGCATGCAGCTCACCAGGTGATTCTTATACTTTCACAATTTGAGAGCCACCACTAGCTCTTGATTTGTGTGTCAAGCATCACCACGGCTGGCAGCAGCTGGAAGCAGAATCTCCATTGAGGGATTATGGGGAAGGGAGATGGAAGAAGCCTTTCCCACTAAGCTTTACTAGGGAAAATAGGCCAATGAGATGATAAACCCAATCAGGCAATGTGGGATTTTTAAAACACTTTTTAGGTCAAAAAATAACTTCTCATCAATAATCTGGTCTTCCCCAGTGTATCGACTTGCCCTTGTTTTGCGTCTTGGAACAGGGCAGCAAGATGGCAACGGTGATGTTCTGGTTGCCCGTGCTGGTCCCTGCGAGTCTGTGTCACATCTGTTACCAGGAGTTACACTGTGGTATCTTCCAAGGGAAAACAACATGAATCTGCAGAGGCCCCTCAAGCCTTGCTCCAGGGCTATGTTAGATTAGAGCCTGTGCCTTCATGATCTTCAATTTCCAGACACTAAGTAATCTTTAGTAGGAAGCAAAGTGAAACTGATGATTGTGAACTGCCCAGGGAAAATGAGAGCCTTTTGAACAGAAGAACGTAGGATTTTTTTGGTTATTGTTTTTACTTGTTTAAGTTAAGGAGCAGCAGATGTGCCTGCACACCAGGAGATTTAGGTGAGCATACATAAAAAGGGAAGTGGGTGGGAAGCACTGTTCTAGATGAACAGAGGTATAAAAATACCAGGTCCTCCCAGGACCTCAAACTCTCTCACAGTGTCAGGATACTAACACCAAAAAGACTCTGGGCTTGTGGGGAATCTGGAGCTCTCCCAATGCCAGTGCTGATAGTTTGGGTATCCTCACAAAGTTCTGCCCAAACACGCTCTGCCTGAAATTGCTGGATGGCTGTGTGGACAGTTTCAGCCTGGACAAGGATGCAGTCCTCTGCCTCCCCCATAGGGGCAGGCTTCCCACCAGTTGCTTCTAGGAGCCACCAGGGCTGCTCGCCACTAGGGGTGGGGACAGCCCCAGAGCATGCTGGCCAAGCTGCCTGGAACCGCAGCCTCCACCTTGCCTGCCCCTCGCCTACCCACCCCGCACCCCCTGGTCAGGAGCTGGGGGAAATTTCCACCCCATCTTGGCTCAGGGAGGGGGCAAACCACAGGGAAGATGAGAGATGACGCTCCTATTGCGTTTTAAGGCAGAATCAAGCCCTGGAGATGTTCCTTTTTTTGTTTTTTTTGAGACGGAGTCTCATTCTGTCTCCTAGGCTAGAGTACAGTGGCGCGATCTCGGCTCACTGCAGCCTCCGCCTCCCGGGTTCAAGCGATTCTCCTGCCTCAACCTCCCGAGTAGCTGGGACTACAGGTGCACCCCACCATACCCAGCTAATTTTTGGTATTTTTAGTAGAGATGGGGTTTCACCATGTTGGCCAGGATGGTCTTGATCCGCCTGCCTTGGCCTCCCAAAGTGCTGGGATTAGAGGCATGAGCCACTACGCCCCGCAATGTTACTCTTAATTAGACCCTGAATGATTTTCAGTGTCCTCCCTCCAGATCCTGCCTCCTGCTCACTACTAGGAACCACTGTGCTATGATCCCCACAAGGCATTCTTTCCAAGTTATTTCGATCGACTTGGAATTTTTTCTTCTCTGTGGCCCTGACAGTCTTAGGTAGATCTTTTTTAGATGGAGCTCTTTTTTATCTAATAATACACTTCGGTCTGTCCCGTAAGCACCTGTGATTTGAGTGAAGGACTGGCTCACCTGGAAGAAGTGTCTCAGAATCACTGTCTAGGAAGAGAAGAGGAGGGCAGGACCCCCAGCCTTATTCCAAGGTTAGCTGTTTGGCTAGGAAGGGGGAATGAAACAGACTGTTAAAGGGGAGCTAACTATTGTAAAAATGAGATCAAGAAGTGATCTTTTATTTAGAAACAAAACTCTTCTCTCCTAAAAGCCCTCTGCAGTTGCAAAGTATATCAGAGAAGCTGCTCCCAGCAGTGTAAGGAATTATAGCAATGTAGAGAAAATAGTCTGAAATGCTCATCCTTAGGGTCTGGAACTGCATTTTAATAGCCTCGAAGACTCAGAATCTCCCAATTTCCCCCTTATGTCACTTTTATTCTTTAAAAAAAGAATGGTTTGCTCCTCTGCTCACCAATCGTTATTCTGTGACCCATTGCCTCTCCTTCCACCTATAATGCCATCTCTCTGCCCGGTCTGCAGTCTCCATCTAGAGCCAACTTGCCCTTCAATTCCCAGTTTAAGTCCCACTTTCTTTAATGAGCTTCCCAGTCCCAGGCCACACTGGTTTCTAACTCAATCATGTTCTGGCAACAACTCAGAAAAATCTTTGATCAGGTTCTGTGTGTCAAGCATCAGTTGTATCCCTCCCAGGAAGTGGTACCATGTGTAGACTTAAAGGAACTCAACCCCCAAGAAAGGGTTGGCTTAGCCTGGACTGCTAAGACAAGAATCTCCCCAGCCTGGGGATGGGCAGAGACACTGGGTTGAATGAGCTAGAGGAAAATGAAGATTAAGAGGAAAGCTTGGTGGGTGGAGGGAAAATAACATCTTAGTTCCGCCCTAACCCAAAAGACCTCTCTGCATCCTAAGCATTCATTCCCTCAGGAATTCAGTTCTTGGCAAGATATACAGTGAGAAGCATTGCATTTGAGAAGCCTACAAAAGCTCTTTCAAGGTCGTGTTGATCAATTGCTAATTAAGAAAGGTAGGTGAAGATTATACAGGGTCTAGAGGCTGGATATCCTATCCTGACTTGGGAAACTGGGCATGCTTGAAGAGGTGAACGTGACTGTTTGGGCACCTAAAATAAGTGAGAGTTGAGGGAACTCAGTACAGAGATAGTTTAAAGGAAGCCAATCTTAAGGATGTTACAGAGACACAGTCAAAAATGAAATGAGCTGGCAAAGGGAAAGGCAAGTTGGGTTATGGATTGGCTTGAGACCTGGGTCATAACCATAGCTTCAGGCCAAACAACCTTGTGATCTTGTGACTTTGGATGAGGTAAGGAATCTCTCTATTCATCTATATATAAAGATGGGGTCTCACTCTGTTGCCCGGGCTGGTCTTGAATGCCTGGGCTCAAGTGAACTTCCCTCCTCAGCCTCCTAAAATGTTGGGATTACAAGCATGAGCCACCACCTCTGGCCTCTAGTTCTTAATTTCTTTCTTTTTCTTTTTCTTTTTCTTTCTCTCTTTCTTTTGAGATCGGGTCTCACTCATCAGTTGAGTGATAACCTCATGGCTCATTGCAGCCTGGAATTCCTAGGCTCAAGTGATCCTCCCACCTCATCCTTCTGAGTCTCCCACCTCATTCTTCTGAGCAGCTGGGACTACAGGCATGCACCACTGGGCCTGGCTAAATTTTTCTGTACAGACAGGGTCTCCCTATGTTGCCCAGGTTGGTCTTGAACTCCTGGGCTCAAGTGATCCTCCCACCTTGGCCTCCCAAAAGGCTGGGATTATAGGCATGAGCTACCATGTCTGGCTTTAATTTCTTTATCTGCATAAAGGAGGTAAAAATTCTTTTTTTTTTTTTGAGACAGAGTTTCACTCTTGTTACCCAGGCTGGAGTGCAATGGCGCGATCTCGGCTCACCGCAACCTCCGCCTCCTAGGTTCAAGCAATTCTCCTGCCTCAGCCTCCTGAGTAGCTGGGATTACAGGCACGCGCCACCATGCCCAGCTAATTTTTTGTAGTTTTAGTAGAGACGGGGTTTCACCATGTTGACCAGGATGGTCTTGATCTCTTGACCTTGTGATCCACCCGCCTCGGCCTCCCAAAGTGCTGGGA